TGTTTTGGGGGGTTTCTTTCCATTTTCAGCTATTGTGTGTGATTTATGTAGATTTCACGCGGTTCTGTGCGGGCAGCTTACACAATGCTCTCATTATAAGGGTTGACATGTTGAAAAATGTTTTTAATATGCGGCTTATTACCATAAATGAGCTGGCTCTTTTGTTATAGATTACGGCTGTGCTGAGATTATTGCATTTGTACAAGAGCCTGCTATGTCAGCATTATGCACAGAGCCTCACAGTCAGGGCTCACAGCTGTATGCTGGGATGTGACCATTATATGTAGAGCGCTGTTGGCGCCCTCTGCTGCATCATTTAGGGGAGTGTTTGTATGTAGTAGATGGTGATCCAACTGTTGGCCAAGTCCACTTGTGGTTCTTCACCAAGCTGAAATGTCACACTAGACCAGTGTTTCTCAACTCCAGTCCTCATGGACCCCCAACAGGTCATGTTTTCAGGATTTCCCTCAGATGAAACAGCTGTGGTAATTACTAAGGCAGTGAAACTGATCAAATCACCTGTGCAAAATAAGGAAATGCTGAAAACATGACCTGTTGGGGGTCCATGAGGACTGAAGTTGAGAAACACTGCACTAGACCCAGATCAGCTGGAAAGAAAGATTGCTATGCCATGCATGACTGCACTTTGAACATTGGCCTTGGACTTAGTAAAATGCAATAAGATAGACATGTGAGTGACTTGGCAGTATAGGGGTCCTAGTTTGTAATCTCCCCAGCAATGCTTTCTGTTGGAGTTTTTATATTCTGCATGTATTTGTGTTTCCTTCCACAAACAATATACTTACTGATAGGATAACCACTTCAGCTCTGGAAGGTTTTACCTTCTTCATGGCCAGGTCATTTTTTGCTATTCAGCACTGTGCTACTTTAAGCCCTGGTTCACATCTGTGCGGGTGGTGCCGCTGTGGATCCACCCACAAATCCGTGCAGCAGCACCACCCGCACAGAGGAATGTGGACCCGTGGGCAGGTGCCATTCGTTCTAATGGCATGCCGCCCGCACTGGAAAACGCAACTGTACTGGGATCCGAGGTTCCCGCGTGGGCTGCGTTTTCAGAAGAAGTGCAGGGACTTCTTCCCTGCATGTCACGGGGCACGGGAGTCCATTCAAATCAATGGGCTCTCTTGCCCGCGCAAAACGCGGCCCGCACAGCCGCATATATGTGAACCGGGGGTCAAGGTTTCTTACCTTCATGTATTCCATGCATGAAGGTAAAAAACCTTCTGTGTGCCCCCCCCCCCCCCAATCCTTGCCTGAGCCCCTTCCAATCCAGCAACTTTCTTGACAGCCTCTGCTGTCTCGGAACTCTTCCTCCTCATTGGCTGAGACGGCAGTGGGAGCCCATTGGCTCCCACTGCTGTCTATCATAGCTAGTGAGCCAATGAGGAGAGAGTGTGCCCCAGTCTTATGGATGCATAGAGCAGCAGCTCAGTGGCAAGCACGCAGTGGTGCCCTCAGGGCGAGCAGCTTTCCCTGAGGGGCACTGCTTGAGGGGCAGGAGCCCTCTGCAAAATCACTGCACAGAGCAGGTAAGTATCGACATACTTGGTATTTTAGAAAAAAAAATTAAGCTTTAGTGTCCCTTTAACTGGTAATTGCGCAGTCCTGCAACGCTGTACCCAAATAGAGCTTTCTTTTAGTGGTATTTGATCACCACTGGGTTTTGTATAGTCTATTATATAAATGAAAAAAGACAGAAAATTTTGAAAAAAAAAACCTATACAGTTTCTTTCTGCTAAAAAACACAACCAATAAAAATAAATAAATAAAATTTCTTCCAAAAAGTTAGATTAAAATTTTTCATTTAGGCCAAAATGTATTCTACTACATGTCTTTGGTAAAAAAAAAAAAAAAAAAGAAGTGTATATTGATTGGATTGCGTGAAGGTTGTAGCGTCTAAAAACTATGGAATACATACTTGGAATTTTTAAAATTGCTTTTATACTACTAATGGCAGTGATCGGTGACTTATAGTGGGACTGTAATAGTGCGGCGGGCAATCTGGCACTGTTAGGTGGGAACTCACTAATTGACATTGATATCTTCAGTGACACTAATACAGTGATCAGTGATAATATTATATACTGTCACTGTACTAATGACACTGGCTGGGAAGGGGTTAACATCTAGGGAGATCAAGGGATTAAGTCTGTGCCTAACAAGGTTCACACTGCTGCGACTTACTTGAGATCCGACTTGTGAGACCCCAAGTCGCATGACATGTGAAATCCCATGTTAGTCAATGAGAGCTGTCTTAATTAGCACTACTGAAGGCGCTCCGACTTTATAAAAGATTCCTGTACTACTTCAAGGCGTATTCTAGGCAGCTTGTGCCCATAGACTTTAATGGCAGTCGCCTCTAAGTCAGATCCTCATCTATATTGATGTGATTTGGATCCGACATTACAGATTAGAAGATTACCCAGGCAAAGTCGCATGACTTTAAAGTTGCTCATCAACCGAGCAGGTCCCAGCATGAATCATTGGTCAGGACCTGCTGACAAACTCCCACTGCGTACAATCACCGCGGGAAATGGTAGACGGGGTGCGTGCACGCCCTGTAACCGGCAGAGGCCTACACCATACAGGTATGTCACTGTGCCTGTACGGGCCGCCCATCTGCAATGCATTGCGGTCGGGCACTCGGCAAGTTCTTAAATGACATCTCAGCACATTGGCCCTAGTGTCTATATTAGTGGTGCTACCAACAGAAATCATTGATGAGCATTGTTGGAATGAAAAATTCAGCTTTTCAGAACAAGAGTGTTACCAACTGGCCACTTTGCTGCACATAGATCTATGCTTACAGGGTATTTGGACAGCACAGTGGCTAACTGGTTAGCACTTCTGCCTGGCAGTACTAGGGTCATTGGTTTGAATCCCAACCACGGCACCACCTGTCTGGAGTTTGCATGTTCTCCCTGTGCCTGCGTGGGTTTCCCCCGGGTACTCCGGTTTCCTCCCATACTCCAAAGACATGCTGGTAGGTTAATTGGCTCCTGTCTAAATTGTCCCTAGTATGTGTATGTATTAATGTAAGTTAGGGACTTTAGATTGTACGCCCCTTGAGGGTTAGGGACTGATGTCAATGTACAATATACAGTGGGGCAAAAAAGTATTTAGTCAGCCACCAATTGTGCAAGTTCTCCCACTTAAAAAGATGAGAGAGGCCTGTAATTGGCATCATAGGTAGACCTCAACTATGAGAGACAAAATGAGAAAAAAAATCCAGACAATCACATTGGCTGATTTGGAAAGAATTTATTTGCAAATTATGGTGGAAAAGAAGTATTTGGTCAATATCAAAAGCTTATCTCAATACTTTGTTATATATCCTTTGTTGGCAATGACAGAGGTCAGACGTTTCCTGTAAGTCTTCACAAGGTTGGCACACACTGTTGCTGGTATGTTGGCCCATTCCTCCATGCAGATCTCCTCTAGAGCAGTGATGTTTTGGGGCTGTCGCTGGGCAACACGGACTTTCAACTCCCTCCAAAGGTTTTCTATGGGGCTGAGATCTGGAGACTGGCTAGGCCACTCCAGGACCTTGAAATGCTTCTTACGAAGCCACTCCTTCGTTGCCCGGGCGGTATGTTTGGGATCATTGTCATGTTGGAAGACCTAGCCACGTTTCATCTTCAATGCCCTTGCTGATGGAAGGAGGTTTGCACTGACGATACATGGCCCCATTCATTCTGTCCTGTACATGGATCAGTCATCCTGGTCCCTTTGCGGAGAAACAGCCCCAAAGCATGATGTTGCCACCCCCATGCTTCACAGTAGGTATGGTGTTCTTTGGATGCAACTCAGCATTCTCTCTCCTTAAAGCGCTGTGTAAATTGATGGCGCTATATACTGTAAGTACCTGTAATAAATAATATTACCTCCTCACCCTTTTTAATTGAGTACATTGGACACAATAAATAAACATGCCTCTGGGAGTCTAGCCTGTGCCTGTCAGAGTCTTGCAGGGCCTCATGGGACTTGCAGTTCCTCAACACCTGGAGGGCCATAGTTTGGAGAATCCTGCACTATAGCATGAAATATACAAGTTTGGCACTGGAAGGGTGGTATGTTACTAAATTAAAGTCCATTAAAAGTCCATGTGGGAGACCATTGGCATTTGCAATGGAGGTACATGAGGAAAACGCAGCATCAGCGGCAGCACCCTTAGAGCAAAGCTGGACTCGGTATTTAAGAGAGGAAGAGGGGTGCTGGACTAAGTCTGAGGAAGAAGTTGCTGCTTCGAACCGCTTCACCACCCACCCACGTCATCACGCTCCTTCGCTGACGTCACGTCCTCCCCAGCACCATTTTGCGGTCCATGTTGGATTCCTGCGGCGGGCGGCCGCACCAGGATATCCTCCCTGTCTACATCGCATACTTGGAGATCGCTTGCTTTCTGCTGCCTCCCAGGAGTCCAGACCACATTCGTGACATGCCTTTTTTATCTTCTTTCCTGTGAGTTGCCGATTGTCTGTTTGCCAATAAATATTCATTTTAATGCTGCACTTAGTCTGGCGCCCCTCTTCCTCTCTGCTCTAAAGCCTGGGAGATGGAATGGCATCTGAGATTGGCTCAGAGCAGTCACATGTTCACAAAATATTCCACTGGCTCCCAATCAGAAGCCATGACTGAGAGCAGTCAGTGACAGCACGGTCATTGTGCTGGGACCGCGTAGTAAGCATGCTCTCCGCACACAACCTCCTGCCACCGTGGACGCATATGTGCAGTGGGTGGGCATTAAATCCCACCTTTTTTTACTGTCGCATATATGTGCAACACAGTTGGCAAGAGGTTGATCTACTATTATTTTGCCTTCTCTGGTACCTTTCTCCCCTTGTCATCAACATGGTGACATGAAATTCTTAAAGTGTTACTAAACCCTGGACCCCGCATTTACTATATCTGGTCTCCCCGGACCCTGCATTCACTATATCTGGTCTCCCCGGACCCTGCATTCACTATATCTGGTCTCCCCGGACCCTGCATTCACTATATCTGGTCTCCCCGGACCCTGCATTCACTATATCTGGTCTCCCCGGACCCTGCATTCACTATAGCTGGTCTCCCCGGACCCCGCATTTACTATATCTGGTCTCCCCCCGGACCCCGCATTCACTATATCTGGTCTCCCAGGACCCCGCATTTACTATATCTGGTCTCCCCGGACCCCGCATTCACTATATCTGGTCTCCCCGGACCCTGCATTCACTATATCTGGTCTCCCCGGACCCTGCATTCACTATATCTGGTCTCCCCGGACCCTGCATTCACTGTATCTGGTCTCCCCGGACCCCGCATTTACTATATCTGGTCTCCCCGGACCCCGCATTCACTGTATCTGGTCTCCCCGGACCCCGCATTTACTATATCTGGTCTCCCCGGACCCCGCATTCACTATATCCGGTCTCCCCGGACCCCGCATTCACTATATCCGGTCTCCCCGGACCCCGCATTCACTATATCCGGTCTCCCCGGACCCCGCATTTACTATATCTGGTCTCCCCAGGCCCCGCATTCACTATATCTGGTCTCCCCGGACCCCGCATTCACTATATCCGGTCTCCCCGGACCCCGCATTCACTATATCCGGTCTCCCCGGACCCCGCATTTACTATATCCGGTCTCCCAGGACCCCGCATTCACTATATCCGGTCTCCCCCGGACCCCGCATTCACTATATCTGGTCTCCCCGGACCCCGCATTCACTATATCCGGTCTCCCCGGACCCCGCATTCACTATATCTGGTCTCCCAGGACCCTGCATTCACTATATCCGGTCTCCCCGGACCCCGCATTCACTATATCCGGTCTCCCCGGACCCTGCATTCACTATATCTGGTCTCCCTGGACCCTGCATTCACTATCTCTGGTCTCCCCAGACCCTGCATTCACTATATCTGGTCTCCCACAGTACACAGAACATGGAAATGCAATTATTTTAGTAAATATAAACTTTTCTCATCAGCAGTTAGAGCAGTCTTGTGACTTCTATCAGTGTCCAGCAGAAAACTGGTTAACGCTTGTAAGAGTTTTCCTTCTGCTCTAGGAGGATGCAGAACCCCTGACCTCTGATAAGCCCTGTGCTGATCACATGCACTCTCCCATAGAAGAAAAAAACCTCTCTAGCAATACACACCACACTGAGCATGTGCAGAATGGCTACGGTTCAATCTTATCAGGAGATAAGATGTGGAAATTTGAACAAGAGGAGGAGCAGAGAAGTCAGGATCAAACTGTCTTTTTACACAATGCAGAGGATTAACCCCTTAGGTTCCACAGTGAGTATAACAAGCATGCTTTACTGCATATACAGACTGATTTTACTGCTGTGGCTTTAGTAACACATTAAATAAAATGAGAAAATCAAAAGATATCTTATTTTAGACTCAATTACATCATCACTAGGTGTCTGTACTTCTCTATGCAATTCAGGCAGATAATGGCTGGTGGCAGGGGATGGCAGGGTGCTGTACAGAGCTTCTTGCAAAATCACAGCACCTTGCCTCCAGATGTATGCAGTGGGCTGGCTCTTGGGAGGAGTTATGCACATATCAAAATGCCCTGATGGGTAGTTGTCGGTCTGGAGGAGTGGGCGTTCCTAGACAGATTGTGTTTGCATGCGGTCCACCTTAGGTAGTGCCCACATGTGATGCTGAGCCTCCGTGATTGAAAGAACTAAAATCTGATGAATGAAAAGGGCAGGCCAGGGACAGATAGGCTGGGAAGGAAAGAGCTAGATGATGCTGGATGTCCTTTAGACGGTTGAATTTGACTTGCTGCTGCTTCTAATGCACACTGTGAAAAGCTCACAGCGTTCAGTGAATTCAGAGTAAGCCATTTCCATACAAGAGAGGACTCTGTGCAACTGCAAGACTGAGGGGAAGGCTGGAGTTCAGCTTTAGGTCTTCTTTATTTTTGAAGGATGTATCAGGATAAAGTGTCTTGTCATAACCCCAATTCCATTCATATAAAAGCAATACTGTCATTGTGCCTGATCAGCATGTACCTCACATCCGTCCTGAGATTAATGTCATTCATCCTGTCATTCCCCATAGTGTTCCTACCACACGGGGGATCTGTGACGGGAGAGCGCGGTGACAGTGGTGTACAGGCAGCCCACAGATGATATGCGGACCACTCAATTGGAGATGATCTGGACACTGTGTTTTGTAGATAATTTACTGACACAAGCAGTGACAACTGACTGCACTCCGCTCTTCCCCGGGCTGACAGGTCCCAGCGCGTTCCCAGTCAGGGACCGTCCTCGCAGCAGACGGCGTGTGAGCCGCAATTTAAAAATAATCAGCGAGACGTAATAATATGTTAATATTATGCAGACAAAGAGGCACAAGCTGGTGGGGGGTGGTGGGGAGGGGGGGCTGTAATATGGAGAACAGCAGTACAGACAACGGGTCATTACTCATGACGCGACACCGCAGTGACGATCTGCGCACCGTGATGTCATGCTGGTCTTTGGAAGGCCGGTGAATGAGGAGCAGTCAGTAAAATCTATGTGCCAAGCATAGAAAAGTAGAACATTGTACAGAGTAATCAACAGGGCTGATTTACTAAAGGAAGAGAAAGTGAGAGTTCCCTGAGCTTGGGAACTAAGACGAAGCTGCATTCACTTCAATCAACCAATCATGTGCTTGCAAAAATCCACTAGTATTTTCTGATCATGGACATGCAAAAGAATGACAGGGCCACATATCATCCTATCAAATGATCCACGATACATTTGCCCCTCCGACCCACACACCGCACGATATTCTAATTGTTTGAGTTTCACCTGTATATCATATCATACCATACCATTTCCTATCATATCATATCATGTATCATTTCCTATCATACCATATCATATATCATATAATTTCATATATCATATCATACCATACCATTTCCTATCATACCATATCATATATCATATCATGTATCATTTCCTATCATATCATATATCATATCATGTATCATTTCCTATCATACCATATCATATATCATATAATTTCATATCATATCATACATAAATCCATTCCTATCATACCATATCATATATCATATCATGTATCATTTCCTATCATATATATATCATATCATACCATTTCCTATATACCATATCATATATCATATAATTTCATATATCATATCATACCATACCATTTCCTATCATACCATATCATTATCATATCATATCCATACCATCATACCATATCATATCATATAATTTCTATCATACTGTATCATTTACTATCATATATCATATCATATCATCATATCATATCATAATACCATTTCCTATCCTATCATATATCATTTCCTATCATACATATTTCCTATCATATCAAACCATATATCATATATCCATTTCCTATCATATCCATATATCATATCCATATCATATTTCCTATCCTATCATACCATATCATACATTTCATATCATATCATACATACCATTATCCTATCATCACCATCATACCATATCATACCATATATATCATATCATATATACCATATATCATACACCTCATACCATATCATACCATATATCATACCATATATTATATCATACATCATATCTTACCATATCATCTTGTTCATTGGCCCTGACGAAGAGGGAGTTGAGTCCCTGAAATGAGTTGGACTTATCTTCAGACTTGTTATCAAGAATAATAAACTTCTACTGGACTGGCACTATGACTCGGTTCACAACTAACTGCTGAGGTGCTGGGTGTAAAAAGCCTAACTCCAGGTTTTGCATTACTTTAACTGCATGACCTCCAGAAGGTTTTACCCCCTTATGACCAAGGCATGTTTTTGATATTCCGCACTGTGCTACTTTAAATGGTAATCATGCAACACTGTACGCAAATTATTACAATTTTTTTTCACACAAATAGAGCTTTCTTTTGGTGGTATTTGATCACCTCTGGGTTTTTTATTTTTTACTATATAAATGAAAAAAGACAGAATTTTGAAAAAAAAAAAATATTTTCTAGTTTCTATTATAAAATCATTTAATAAAAAAAGTCTAAAAATACATTTTTTTCATAAATTTAAGGCAAATTGTTTTTTGTTTCATGTCTTTGGTAAAAAAAAATCCCAATAATTGTATATCAATTGGTTTGTGTGAAAGCTATAGCATCTACAAACTATGGGATATATACTGAAATGTATGCAGCTATGATGGTATACTGGTAATAGCAGTGATCAGCAACTTATAGTGGGTCTGTGATAGTATGTGGACAATCTGGTGCTAGCTGACACTGGCTGGGAGGAACACTAACTGACTGATATCAATAGTGACACTAATACAGTGATCAGATATAGTACTGTACACTTTATTAATGACACTGGCTGGGAAGGGGTTAACATCAAGGGGCAATCAAAGGGTTAACTGTGCGCCTAACAAGTGCAATGTGGGCTGCTTTTACTAAGAGATCTGGTTGTTAAAGCAGGGAGAAGAAACAGTCAGATCGTAGCTCTGTGTACAGATCTCTGTGTTGTTTGCAAACACAGAGCTCTGTGTTGTTTGCAAACACAGAGCTCTGTGCTGTGATTGGACACATACGATCAGCAGGTCTCAGCCATTGACCGGGACCAGCTGACAAAATCCTGCTGTGTCCAACCGCAGCGCAGGCCAGCAGGGGGCACACTTGAGCAGCCCAAACCGAGAAGCAAGCTCACAGCGTTTATTTACATTGCCGCCCAATCACAGTAATTTTACTGTGACTGGGAGGCAAGTGGTTAAATAGTTCATTTGGGCTGACCGGTGCTTCCCCATTGGTTTTAATGCGTAGCATTCAGCAGGCTTGGCACTAACGGCACGTGTCTGGTAAACTTTGCTGCAGATGCAAAGAGAAGCATTGTGACCGCGACACGTAGACACCGATCTGCTGCCTAATGCAGCTTGGGGGGGAGGCAAAAACACGGCTGAACTGCACATTTTTGCCGCAACCCCCAAACGCAGATCTAAATGAAGGTTTACCATACATATGTGTGAGAATAACCAAGACTATAGCTAAGAGATCTGCAATGCAGCCAATTCCTTCCTGAGCGATCTTAGTACATTAAATGCCCGAACCCCGGGGACTAGTTATTCCTCATTATATCTGTCAACACATCACCCAGTATACAGGGATCCAGGTGAGCCTGCAGCTGTCAGTCCTCTTCAATGGTTTACCTGGCAGATCCTCAGACGGCCCTGGGAGAATTTACATTCCAGCTGAAATTTTATGATATAATATATGATGGTGTAATAATCTCTTACTGAGTGCAATTTACTGAGCATTAGTCACAAGCCGAAATCTCATCTCCGCTTATGGATCAGCTGACAACACTGAGATCCCACGGAAAACACTGCAAGGGCTGCAAAATGTGAATTACCAGCTGGTGACTATTAAGGGGATTAAA